TTCGCTCACGAGAAATCCCGTCCTATTCTTGATAATGGCCTGCGATCCTTTTTGGGGCAGAGATCTTTGTTTATAATACATCCTTCTCAGTGCTGGTGATGCGTGAAGAACGAAAAATACAAAATCCGTTTCCACTGATGCCATTCCATAATTCATAAGAGACTTCACAATAGCATTTCGAAGATACAGCGTCGCGAGTGAAACAAATTCGTTGTCATCATACCGGGTGATCATGGGGAATCAAGATTACATAGAAAAGACTGTTTCATCATACGCAAGTATTAATGTAAATTTTAGAATTAAAATAAATAATGTGAATCATTTTAATTCTCAATTTTTTACAATCATTCCATTTACATAGGATTTTTCATTGCTTACTGTCTTTCTGGATCCCTATTTTAGCCAGAATTAATGCCTTTTTGAATACATATTTTAGTAAAAATAAATGCATTTTCCCCCCTTATTTTTCCTCCCTATCCCCTAAATAATACCTGAAATTCGGGTCTCTAGTGCTAATATTTTTTGTGCGACAATGTTGCCCAGTGTCAGGGTTGCAGGACACCTTTGCAGCGACTTCGACCGGGTGGTCCTGAAGTGGCAGCCTTACGACACTGGCTACGTAGCTAGGAAGATCTGAACCACTGTCAAAAGGAGAATTCCAGCCGGTGGCTTTGATCGGGAGTTTGTCGGTTTTGTTTGTTTTTTTTGATCGACCCAAGGCGAATGTCGGAGCAGCACCTTAACAAATCCAACGGGCCAAGGACGATTTGAGCTTCCTCATTCTCTATCCCTTTTCTCGTTACACACACACATTCAAATCCCAACAAGCAATGAACACCACCACCTCTCAGTATGTAACATTCACTACACTTATGGTGATCATTACTGTAGAAGTTGACACGGCAGAAAACTAAATAATCAATCAAGTGACCTAACAAGTGAAATTTGTTTATGTTACCATGATTCCAAACAAACATTTAACTAATCATTTCAACAACATCGTGATTTATTTCAAACGCAGCTCAAAATGAGGGCCTGAAGCCTACAGTTTATAAAAAAATTAGTATTTTCTTCTGGTTTATGGTCATTACTTTTTCTAACCGAATGGATTCTAATGGCCCCAAATTCGCGAATAAAATATTTAGAAATCGTAACAATTCCCGGCAATCACTTTTAGTATGATTTCAACGTTTCGCTCATAAATAATTTTACCAGCATCGCAGAACTAGTCTTCCGTAATGCAACAATTCTAACTAATCGGCCTTTCCTCCTGCTAAAGCTGCTTCTCATGTCGCAGATTTCAGACCTCAGCTGGTGAGTAATGTAGTTACGAAGGTTTGAATAAAACGTTTAACATTGACTACATTTATTCTTTGATACTATTATCAAATCCGATTGCTACAGCGTGTGTTGATTTAAGTCCGCAGCCGAAGCTTCGTAGACCCGGAGACTTACACGATTGATTGATGTTTCCTGGCACGTCTCCTGCTTTGATGATTAGTCCCGTTAGAGAAGTGATTGTTTTTTATCTTGGGAGGTGGTGGGATTGTGGAAGGTTTCCCCTCCAGGAATCTCCCCACCCCCAGCGGAGCACCTCCTCAGCCTCGAAGAGCTAGAAACTCCCGACATGCGTGAAAGTATGGAGCATGAAAGTGTTTTTGGAAGGGAAGAAGATAGGACAAGCAATAGGAAGGAAAGGTCGCGCGCGGTCCGTGGCCTGTTTGTGAGGTACTGCTCCAGCATTCGCCTGGTGTTGTTCGGATTAACCACTTAAAATTACCGACCGGAGCAGCTGGTCAATAGAATTCTTTTCCAGGCCACGGCTGAATTCGACCTAGTCACTTAGGTCAAGTTGTCGTCGTCGAGGTAGATGGAGTGGACGAAAATCCGCCAACGTCTAATCTCAAACCCTAGGACCTCTCGGTCAGAGTCACTGCATAATCAGCGGTAAGGCTGGTGGTGAGCTAAACTCAACCGGTGTTATGCATGCTTTCAACACATGATTTTCTAGACCAGATAATTAGCCGGATCAAAACTGATCAATGTCTGGGTAAGAATTGTGTCGGCAGGTTCAGATCGATCGTTTCCATTGTTTCCTATGTCTAATTCCAGGCAGAGACCGGAACCTGAAAATAACATATCAATGATCGTGTATGATCCTTCTTTCCACATTCATATCCTTAAGGACGCGTGATAAGCAACACATATACACTCACAAGACCCGTAATGATAAGGAAAATTACAACAAACTTCAGCGATATATAATGAAACTGACAAGCTGTGAGATTTCCGAAACCTTCTGTCTTGTGATGGGTTGACTCAATATCTTGAACTGATGCAATACGGAACGGAATGTAAATGATTCTTCAGAGAATGACAAATGAGAATAGCAAGACCGAGTTTGTTTAACATGTTTGCGGAGAAATACATCCCAATTATCGATTACAGGGGTTATGAGATGGCGGTACGCGAACCACCAGTGGTACGCAACGACAATTCAGGTGGTACATTAGCTAATGACGAGAAAACTCCTATATCAAAATAGTTAATGTGAATACTGAAAATTAAACGTAATGGACGATTGCAACTAAAAACTGTGCAAGTTTCAACTCGCACTCATACATGTATTCACATGAGAAATTCCACTGATTCCAGTAGAGTTGATTCAAATATGATCTTCTTTGTTCTACAACGGAGGTTTCACGTGCAAAATGTTCCGAATGGACTTCAAATCGCCCATCCCAGACATTTAGTAACTTGGCCGCCTTATTTGTTTGTGTATAAAAAGAAAATATCGCGAGTTTTTCACTTAAATCAGGATGACCGCTAAAATTCCTGTAAAGGTTAAGTGGTATTTGGCAACAAACAAATCAAATCCTCTGATCTTCCCATCTCCTTGATAAAATGAATGTCCATTTACAATGTCCTCTCTGCGATTTACAATAACTCAATTTCATCTGTACATGATATAAAATATATTAAATCTTATATAGTGTATCTCACAGTTATAGTGACATTAAATGACTTTGACTTGACTGACACTCCCTTGGCCTATTCTCTTTCCTGGTCTCTATTAGAACTTGTTTCAATCCTATATTACTACGTTTTCCCCAAAAACCCCAGGAACACGATAACCTAAAGCTAATCAAATTTTAAATTAAACTTTCATCTAGAAATACTTTGTGAAACTCAAATGGAAATGCACTTCTGGTTGCCGTTTGTAAAAACAAGTGCAAGAAGGTCATTAATTTTTCAAATTTCTATGTTGTGTTGAATGGCATACGCGTACGTAAGGTGTATCCTCGTTATGAGATTTCAATATAATAGCAAACTATATACTTAAGTATATTTATGTAGGAAGTGTTTCTGGAAAACTTACTCATCTAACCTAAGAAATCGAAAATATTGCGTCATCCATTATCAAAGGCTGATCGATTTTCTCTTCAACACAAGTTAATATCGTTAATAACGTTCATCGTAGTTGCTTGAACTGTTTAAGAGACTGGTTATAATCGTGTTTGCGAGGTACCTCATTTGAGACGCTGCTGCAGTTATTCAAAAGCATAAGTCCCTCTCAATTCAATAGTAGAGTCTTTATGTTGCAAAAGGTATCAATCGGTACAGTATTTTTCTGATTTGTCTATTTCCTATGGTCTCTCTTCAAATATAAAATATTTCAAAAAGTGTATCGTGTGAATTATATAATTTGGATCAGTTTCTGGGCGCAATAATTAGGGCCCATGTCTGTGTTATCACGGTGAGGTTGTGTTGAAGGATGAATCTGGTTAACTTAATTAATTTCGCAATGTAATGATGAATATAACGAATAATCAGAATATATTAATTAAAACCCATTGCTGTGATTCTGATCTGAATGATGAAATTCTCAAACTTGACTCGTGATTGGTAAATTTATTTCAAACCAATAAATTATCGTTTAAACTTAGTCCAATAACGTTAGACGTCTCAAAATTTAAAATATTTTTTAAACAAACATGAAATCAGATTTCATTAGGTAACGTTCTAAGATCAAATAATTTATCTTTAACGCGACTGGTGCAACATCATTGTACAATTCGCCAGGGCTCACGCCTTGGCTACAAATTGCATCCTCTGAGACACCGGCGATCTGAAACGGATAATTCGTCACACTTCCCGCGCTGGAGTAAGTGTGCGCTTTCACCTCACTGAATCGGCCGATAATTATATGTTTGCGTTGGACCTTGCCCCTGCTCCGTATTTATAATTAGTTCGTTTAAACCGGAGAACGTATTTCCCGGATAAGACAGTACCCTTAAAGGTAAAACAGTTTGCCTTATCCACTAGCATTGGATCGTCGTACTCCTTCAAATTCCAAGATTTTGTAATTTTTCTGAAATATCAGACGAACTTAAAGAACTAACACTATTCTAATTGAAACTAATGCATTTAATTAATAGTGATCTCTCCCACAACTAGTAATAGCGTTTCAATACGATTTTAAAATTTGTTTTAATCCAGCTGTGGAGAATTTCAAAAAAACTATCATCCTTCAAACACGGAAAGATTATATTCATTTTTAATTCTAAAGGAAGATGACGCAATATCTTGCATACCTGAAACGCAGGCCGATTTCTGTCTCCATACTCCAAGGCAACGGGACTTACCTTCATGTTGGCACCGGAAGGGGCGTCGGCGGCGTCTGCGACTTCTTGCGGGACTCGGAGGACGTACGCTGATGCGGGATCGTGACGGAGTTACCTTATATACGGGCCCCTTGCCACCGCCGCCGCCGTCACCTGCGCAGCCCCGCCCGGCCCGGCCCTGCCCGTCCGTCTCCGCCGCCGCCCGCCGCCGCCCGCCGCCGCCTGCAACCACCCCCCAAGGTCACAGTGCCTTGGGTTACGCGCCGGGTGTCGAATACGCGGGTAGGCCCTTGGGGAGCCGTTCGCTTTCCGGGCGGCTTTTGTTCTAGGGTTTCCTCCTGCGATGGCAGGTTGGTCTTGGACACAAGGCGGGATTCGATCTGTGGGCTGGTAGTCGCGTTCGGGGAGGAGGGGAATTGACTTCGAGTAATTCAGGTTCAGTACCTTTGTATCGGCAGTGACAGTGTCTTTTGTTCTCACGATGGTTAAAAGACGTCCCTTGTTCATTTCGTGTATTTCAGTGGAGTTCATTATTTTTCAGTAAGTACTTTTTCATTCTTATCGCTTCCTTATCAATTAACAAATTCTGAAATTTTTATTTTGTATAAATCGAATTCATTATTTAATTGATTATTCGTAACGAATCAAGGCGTTTTTTTCTAGTACGGAGTAATTTAATCTGGAATACTCAAGCTCTTTCAGAACAATATGGGAACACCACTCCAAATATTAGCAGTAGGTGAAGGGCTGTTTCACATTAAAGAAACAAATGATCAGATTTAACAGGGGATTTTCTGTTTATAAATAGATATTATTTAAAATTCACGTTCTGTGTTTTTGGGATAGAATATTTTCTGTGCATGTTGATCTAGAAAATGTAGCATTCATCCGGATAACCACAAGCAACACCTAGGTATATGATAGGTTTATTTGATGGAGTCCAGAGGAAGATGTAAATTTTTCTCTACATTTATTTGAGAGATAAGTTTGATAATTCGAATGCACTAACAAATTTTACCCATTTTATTGTAGAAATTAACATCACTTTGTGACTTATACGCCGACAATGTACTTTAGAGCAAGGAAAACAACATGTTAGGCGGAGTTGAAGGATGTCTTGTAAATGATTCAAACGCCCGTCCTGTCCGTCACTTGCTTCTAGTACGATATGTCTACTGTCGAGATAGAGGGAGAGAGTGCACTATTTTGCTGACATTTCTCATGTCATCAGTTGTCTTTGATTTCATTAACAAGTAAATAGATGTACTGGTGCTCGCTACGGGACCATAATGCGCTTAAGCGAGCTCGTGCGTTTGTAGTTCAAAGAAAGAAACGTATGTCCGTATTTATAATTATGAAATTTTACTGAATTTGTTTTGTTTTTGGCCGTATGAAATGCAATATGATGCACTCGAACATAGTTTCAAGGTTATTAAATACTTCAAAAATCGTTTAAATAAAATGTTTTAATCTATGCATGTATGAGTAAGAAAAGTACTCGAGAAAAACTTAACTTGTTGTTTCAGAGATTTTTATACTTCAGAAGTTTAATTATGGTTTCATTCCAAATTGTCTACCTGAAATACTAATCACAAATTAATTTAATTCTCATGAAAATTAAAACTCGTAAATATTGATCTCAGAGAAGGGCAGAGAATATCCAGTTCCTACCTCTAAGGATAATATTTTTAATTACTAACTTGAAAAAAGTGTTTTCAAACTCTTTGAAAGTGATGATATCAATATTTGGTAACTATTTTGAAAAAAATGAGAAAAATTACGAAATCTGTTAGCTTGCTGGATGGAGGCTATGACCTTCATCCTTTAGATCTGTCATTCCCATCATTGTATGTCGTGTAATGTTGTTAACCTCCTCTTGTGGACAAGGTAACTCGATGTACTCTTTGAAAGTAGTACGAGAGAGAAGTTTTAGTTGAGTAATGCGATAAGATAAAATCCGAATAAATATTAGTATATACTTGATATCTCTTCTCTTCAATTAAATCATACGAATTCCAATTAGAAAAAGTGCCATGCTTTTTTCCTTCGAAGAATGAATTCTTTACCTTACGCCGACGACAATTTTTACGAGCAGGAATATTTACTATCTCGTATACGTACGTATATATGGAAAATATACATACGTATATTTGTATCGTCGGTTCGTCCATCCGTCCGCGTGCCGTCTAATCTAAGCGTAGGACTTTTTTCAAACTAAATACTCCCGTGTCGATCTGTCCTCATTCGAAGGTCTCCAAGTTTGAAAAAAAAATCTTCAGCTCTTGGCGATACTTTACATGATGTCCCTGCAACATTTTCATTTCTTTTTTTAATTGCTCCAATTTTTTCTTTAAATCCATTATAAGAGTAGAGTGAAACACACTTATAAAACTGGCATATGTACGATTTTCACTGTTAACTTTGAATTTACGAGAGTTGTAAAAGTTCGAAATTTGTTCGGAGTCTTCCTACAATTGTAAAATGAAAGACAGATTTTTTCTTCAAATATTTTTTCTCCTTAATTAGTTTTCATTAAAGTCATGTATATTTTATATAAATGCGTAGTTTTCGCGCAATATTATGTGAAATAAGTTCAATATTAAAAAATAACAAAAACAAGAAATCAAAAACGGCTCCATTTTTTCTTTAAACATTTGGTAGGGTTTGTGTTAAACACATGACATAGGCCCATTTTGCTATTTTTTTCAACTTACACTATTGTAATTTTTTGACATGTTTCTCACGATGTTAATAATTACATTACTGGCGATTTGTGTACATTATTGTATATATGAATAAATGTGGTTCAAACGATATCTTATAAAGTGTTCACGCAAACTCAAAACCTTTCTGTGACAATGAGCACAAAATTTCGCATTTTAAGAAAATGACGAAAATTGTTAATTAGAATTTTTTGTGTGGATAATTTTAAATGAACTCAACAGAAAGTCATCATTGCCATTTTGATGTATTCTTTTAAAAAATACAGAAAAGTACTTTATTTAAATCTGTCTCGTCCTAGTGTATACATGAGAGGTACTTTGTATACATTATTTGATTTTTTAGTACAAGTGATTCACATTGTTTTCAATGACTTTTCTTCAAAACTCGAGAGTTTTCTATGAAAAAGAGCTTCAAATTTCACCTTTACAGAAATACTGAGACAACATATTCACAAAACCGTCTCGAAATTTTTCTACGAAAATTGCTACAAACGACGAAGTTGTATTCATCTATAATATTCTTAAAGTTGTATATCAGTTCCATCTCTCGAAAACACAAAAAGAGAAAAATGTGAAAAATGTATTTTGGGCGGCGATAGATGGCAGATGGGAAGATGGTGAAGCAAAGCCAAAAATAAGACCAAAGAAATTGTAAACTATATATCTACTACAAGAAAGTCTGTGCCATTCTGTTTCCTCATTAATTGTTGTTTGTTTGATATTTCAATATAATAGAAATCAATATCAATAGGAGTAGGGTCTCTGATGAGACTCGACTTCTAGGCGATTAATATGTACTTATCTCTTCTTGAAGATAAATTAGTGAAAGCCGTTCACGAATACATCATAGTAGTCATGTTAGTGGCCTTCTTTTCGTCACAGTCATTTATTTCCTGCCATGTGCGATGCGTCTGGAGCGCGGATCTAAAACGAGCACGTGGAAGGGCGTGGCGGACGCTGACTCCAGGCAGACGCGAGTGGGTTGATGCACCCTTGGCGAGATGTCGCCCCCCCCCCCAACCATCTGTTCGGCCGCCGCTGTCGCCCACGTCTTCCGCTTCAGCTACATCTCGCCCCGCGCGACCACACCCGGCCTGGCCAGGATGCGCGGTGCAGTTGCGACTTCGCTGCTGCGAAAAAAAACTCGCTTTCTATGCAACTAACGACTGAGCCAATTGCCTTCCTCAGAGCCTGAACAGTTTTGCGTGTTCAGTGATAAGTAATGGTGACCATTATGTGCGTAGTCGTAAGTCTAAGGTGTTAAATAAATTGTTGTCAGAAGTTCAAAATGTTTAAGTTATATACTTAACGCAAAACACTTAATAATTCATTTTTAATATGTTGTAAAAAAACAATAGGTCATTGTTACGCATAATTGACGTTTCTGAGCAAATCGTATATTTATATGTTGTAAAAAGATAAAATTTTATTGTCAACTGGCTCTTACCCGGCGCGTTGCTGCCGCAGGAAGAATTGTGAAAATATCGTTTGAAATTTGAAAGAGTTCCCCTGTTCTTTTTCTTATTTATGAGTTAATTAATTCCCCCTCTTTCTCCTTCTTTCTTTTTCCCTCTCTTTCTCTTCCCCCTCTCTTTTCCTTCTCTCTCACTCTGTCCCTCTCTTTTCCCCGTCTCTTTTCTCTCTCTCTTTTCCCTTTCTGTATCTGTCTTCCCCCCCCCTCTCTCTCTCTCTCTCTCTCTCTCTCTCTCTCTCTCTCTCTCTCTCTCTCTCCTGGGCTGTCCGCTTCTCCTGTCCTTTGCCTCAACCCATGTCACACGGAGATGCTTTGCAACAATGAAGTCAAGGTGGATTGGAAATTGCATGTAAATGAAGCGTCATCTTTTGCTGCAGCGCTATCGAGCGAAGTTACAATAATTATTGTTCTGTGTCAATATCCTTCCTACAAATGCAAGCAATAAGTTGATTAAGTTTTATCGCAATCGCATGAACGACAGGGAAGCGCATTAAGCATGAACCAGCAAACATTGATTTTTATATATTAGATAACTTGGCCCAGAGAAACGAAAAGCACGGGAAAAGAAATATATTTTTGAATACTTTAAAATATTAGCACTTATTTGGTGTGTTTTCTTTTTCAATATTGACGAAGATTCCTTTCTTTTAGTTTGTCCAAGTCATGAACTTCCGTGAAGTGGCCTGAATCTCATATGAACCGCGAGTGAACGGCTCAAGTCGAGGTAAAATGTGATGTGTTTTTTACCTCAGGCAAATGCTTATTGATTAAAAAGCCCGTGAATTCCAGAATCCTAACATTGCTATCTGCTACGTAAAGCTTCTTTTGCTAGTACGGTATTTAAAACTAGGAGTGTACAACTGTCTTATTTTAATACAGTTCAGACTTTTTTCGATGAGTAATTACCTTA